GTCTTCCAAGCCCTGCATTAATTCTTCACTGAGGATGCTCAGCGCTGCAGCACCCTCTACCCAGGCACAGGCCTTGGGACTCACTCACCACTGCGTGCTGGGTTCAGTGCATTGAGGCACACACGGAGGGTATGCAAGGTTGCATAGTGCTTCCCCTAAATACATGGTTTTCCTGGGCTTCAGAATGTGACCTTATTTGGAAATATGGTTGTTACAGATGAATAGTGAAGATAAAGTAGAGTGGGGGCAACTTAATCCAATGACCAGTTTTCTTACAAGAGTGGCAGAGAAGGACACCAGGTGAGGACAGAGGCAGGGGTTAGAGTGAGGCATTCCCACACTGAGGAACCAAGGACTGTGGGCCATCAAGGATTGTGCTAGCATCTGCAGCCAGACAAAGTGAGGAAAAGACCTTCCTGCAAGCCTTCAATGGGGTCATAGGAAAAGACCTTCCTGTGAGGCTTCAATGGGGGCATAGTCCTGCCAATGCCTTGATTTATTTCAGACTTGCAGTCTCTAGCACTGTGACAGAATCCTTTTCTGTTGACTGAAGCCCCCCATCTATGGACCTTTGTTACTGCAGCCTGCAGAAGGTAAAACAAGAGGATAGAATCCCAGGATTGGGGGTTTGCTGTTTTGAGGGGCATCTCCTTCCCCATCCTGCAGACCGGCTCTCAAGTATCACTCCTGCCACATTCAGCTGATGCTACCTTGTAATAGAACACTTCTTCTGTACTCTTTCAAATATAAAATGGACTCTTCTTATACACCGCAGCAATTCCTTTCCCTCACCACTCCCAGTCTCGGGGTGTGAGATGGCAGTGAGTCCTGCTTCTGTGACCGTCTTAACTGTGCTGTGACAGCCTGAGGCCACCCAGCCTGTTTTCCTAGGCTGGACCGTTGTTTAATTATGGGTATCAGCTGCTAATCACCGCCTCAATTCCAGGGTAACTCAGTGCTCCAGAGATCTATTTATAAAAGGCCCCTCTCATTTTTCTTTTATCTGTATGTTGGTATATATGCATGTAGGTATGTATGTATATATGTGTATATGTATGTGTGTATAGATGTATGTATTTCCACTCCCATCCCCAGCTAGGGAACCATTCTAATGCATATATATTCTTTTATGTGTATCAGTCCTTAAAAGATTTACAGGTGACTTTGTATGCATGTGCTTTAATCTGAGAGACAGAAACATGCTCTATCATTCATCCTCTTTTTCCCATGATTTTAAGATCCACTAGGAGTTGCTGTGTGGATATCCACACCTTTGCATCAAAGCTGTGTGGTGCACCCCTACCCCTGTCCTAGTTTCAGGTCCCTGATGACATCGAGCTCTCCATCTCTATAACTCATGTACATTTCCTACCCCTGAGACTATGTGAGAATCCACGTAAAAACAGAACTGCTGAGCTGTAGGATGTGCGACCAACTCCTTTGTCCACACCCTGAGAATTGCACTGCAGAACGGCTGTACTGTCCACATCCCCAACCCACAAGTCACACCAGTTTGCTATTTGCTTACATCTCTACCAACACTAAGCATCATCCAGCTTTCTCATTTCTGCCAGCAATGGGCATATAAAATTATATCTCATTGTTGAATCCTTTGCATTTTTCCAATAACCATTAAACTTCAGCATCTTTTCGTGGATCCATCAACTCTTTGGGTTTCCTCTCTTATAAGTTGCCTTTACCCAAGTTTCAGCAAAGATTATACTCTTTCTGGTAGATTTGCAAGACTTTCCTGTGTGTTCTAGATATCAAAACCTTTCTTGTAAACAGCTATATGGAGACGTCACTTACACACCTTACAGTTCATTTGTGTTTGCAAGTGTATGTGTCAGTGGGTGTTAGTGCATCCAAATATGTATGTAATCATTACTTGTCAATTTTAGAACATTGTGGTCACCTCAGAAAGAAATCCAGCCCCATCAGCTCTCACCCTATCCCTCCAATTCCACCCCAGACCATGGCAATCGCTAACACATTTCTGATCTGCTCTATAGGTTTACCTATTCGGGACATTTTATATAAATGGAATAATATGTAATATGACCTTTTATAACAAGCTTTTTCATCTAGCGTATTGGTTTGGAGGTTTATCCGTGTTGTAGCTTATATCAGCAGCTCATATCTCTTTATGGCTGAATAATGTTTCATCGTGTATATCTACCACATTTTCTTTATCCATTTAACAATTGATAAACATTTGATTCTTTCCACCTCCTGGCAATTATTAATAACACTGCTATAAACAACCATGTAAAAGCTTCTGTGTGAACATATGTTTTTGTTTGCCTTGGGTGTTTACTTAGGTGTGGAATTGTTAGGTCATATGGAAAGTCTGTGTTTAGTCATTTGAGAAACTCAGTTTGCCAAAGTGGTTGCTTCATTTTACATCATCACCAGCTGTGTGGGAGAGCCAAATTTCCCCACATCCTGGCAACACTTGCTTTTTATATTATTTGCTCAGTCTAGCCATACTAGTGGGTGCAAAGTGATATATCTTCTTTTTTCATGTAAACATATTTTTATTTTGACACATAGTCTTTGTACCTATTTATGGGGTACAGTGTCATATTTCAATGCTTGTATACAATGGGTAATGATGCGGGTACGAAGCACAACCATCGTTTCAGATATTGCGGTTTCTTTGTGTTGAAAAATCCTGTCATTTGCAGTAACATGGGTGGAACTGGAGGACATTATAGTAAGTGAAATAAATCAGGTGCAGAAGTACAAACATTGACTGTTCTCACTGATATGTAGCAGCTAAAGTGTTGACCTTACAGAAGTAGAGAATAGAATAGTGGTTACTAGAGTCTAAAAGGGGAAGAAGGCAGTGGAGGAGGAAGAGAAGATGGTTCACAGGTGTTGTTGGATAAGAGAATATGTCCTAGTGTTCTGTAACAGAGTTGGAAAACTATAGTGATAGTAATTAATTAAATATTTAAAAATGGTAGAGAAGATTTGGGATATTCTTGTTGTTGATTTGATTTTCATTTCTCTAATGACAAATGATGTTGAATGTCCTTTCATGTGCTTGTTGGCCATTTGTATGTTTTCCTCCAAGTCCTTTACTC